ATATGTTTTTCATTGTTATTTGGAAAATAATAGGATCATCTTGCAGGCGCTCTTTAAGTTATCTCCTCCTCTTCTTGTTCTCAGTGAGTGGGGACTTTTTACCTGTCTTTCACCATCATGGCCCGGAGCCACACACACTCACACACTCACACACATTACAATGACACACTGCAGGGAGCAGAGCTGCACAGTATCAGCCTGCTGAGCTCTCTCCACACCTTGAGACAATTACCCTCCCCGCCTCACAGCACCCTGCCCCCTGTTGCTGCTTTGAGAGAGACACACAAATGCAGGGTGATTGTAAGAAAAAAAGTTGCCTCATTATCTTTTACTTTAAAAAAAAAAACATAAGCTCACTCTCACTATTTTAGTTGCGCAAATTGCACCTCTCTGCCTTTCTCACATGCATACAAATAATTTGCAAAAAGGTCGAGTCACATTACAACTATTCACAATCAGGTTCTCCGGCTATTCATCCAGTCGTCATGTCTGACACAAACACACAGAGCTGAACAATGGCCTCTCTCTCTCTCTCTCTGTCTGTTCCTCCAGCAGCAGCTCCTCCAGCTCAGCCGCAGATATTTGCACAAAGTCTCACTGCGGTCATCAGCAAGAGCACAAATATAGTCACAAATGTGAGGCAAGGAGCGCCGGACTGCTGGTTCGTGATATTCATGGCTGTTGGAATGTGCAGCCCACAGAGTGGCAGTGGAAATGTGCGTTCCTGTGCATGTGTGTTCGGACGCATGGACAATTATGTGTGTATGTGCTTAAACAGAGTGCCTGTGATGAAAGACACAAAGAAAAACACACAAGCCTCACTCTGTGCCTTTAGGTTCAAGTTACTAATATCACACACACACACACACACACCACACACACACACACACACACACACACACACACTTATAACATTACAAAGAACAAGATGTGACTAGTACAGAAATTACGAAAGGACATTGTGTTCATTGTGGAAAAATACACTTCTTTTCCTCGTGATCACTACAGTGAGATTTCTTCCTTTTTATAAAAAAAAATAATGATTTCAATGTAGGCAGAATTTTGATCCTGATGTCATGAGAAAAGACAAAATACATTGTTCCAAAAAGTGTCTGAGAAATATTTACTTATTCTTGAATAAAATCCAGAGATGGAATTGTAATTCCAGGAATCACTGGGAAGAAAAGCTTTGGTGAAAAAGAGTTGGTCGTGAGTTCCCATTGTTATTAGGAAAAGAAGACAGAGCTTAATGTATGACTGAATGCACAGCAGGGAACTTTTGATGTGGATATCCGCTAATTTCAAGTGCAGGGATGTTTTGAGTTTCATCTCATTAGGGAACAAAGTTTAGTCTTCCACTCGCACTGATTAGGACCTGGATTGAATAAATTTGCAAATCCCGCTTAAACCTCGACTGTAATTTTGTATAATTTTGTTCACTTTGCACTAATGAGAGATAAGTCATTTCTTGTAGCTTCACTTGATGGTAAATAATGGGCTCATTATTTGCATGGTTAGCCTTCCTTAATGAAAATAATCAGAACTGAAATACCCTGTTGGCTAACCGCCACAAGAGGGATATCTACAGAGTTAATCAAATGTTTTAAATCTAGCTGATGGGTAAATGTGTCAACTCCTTTGACATTGATTGATTATGATGTGAAGAGTGTGATGAACAAGCTACCACACAAGAAATGACTGTAAATGCCTCCTCTTATAACATATATGTATGTATTTAAGTGAGCTTACACTTGCTCTGTATATTAAAGAGATGTTAAGGAGTAACTTAACACTGAAGATATGTTGTGTGCGCTGACTTACAGTAAGTTTGCACCTTATTGAAGGGATGTAGGTTTGTATACAGTTATGCGACAGGAGTCAATGGTAGAAATACACTTACTCTCTGTTACAGTCAGTTAATACTGTCAGTCAGCAAGCTAGCTGGGTTGGAGATGTACAGAAAAAATGCTAAATTCTGTAGTAATGACACTCTGATTTGTAATTACTTTGAGGATGAACATGCTAAAGCAAGCAACCTAATTATCTGGAAAAGTAGTTGTTGAAGCCTTGGTGTTGAATTACTGACACTGATCTGTTTTATATTTGCAATATGGTCCAATTCACTTAAAAATAACTTCAAATAACTTTATATTAGCCTGAATTTACACATTTCTCTTACATACGTACACTACGTAACTGAACTATTTCTTCTCTCTCTCTATATATAACTATTTTTTGTCATGTGACCACCCTTATTGTCATCTATCCTGACTGACATAATGTGTCCCCTCATATCTTTCTGTCTCTGTCTGTATATGTATAAAAGTCCCAGAGGCAACATGTCAAAGATGTAATCACATTCTGAAAGCTACTGGCCTGGTTGTTGGGCCCGAGTCTCCAGAAAACGACTGCAGATAAACAGATAACAGCTGCTCACTGAACACATTATCTGCACTATTATTTGCACTCACAATGACTGACAGGAGTGTTCAGCAGGTATTTCTACACCTGATATCACTCTTACAGGATGAGAGATACTTGACAAACATGTATCTGTGTAAAGTGTTTGATTTGAACGCTGCACAGTTTACATAAGAGAGTAATGAAATAGTGCTGTGACCCTGTAATGTCTGAGTAATATCATTACACTGCAACAACATTACAAAAAGAAGACTTTTACAGGAAATAGAATTAGCAAGTTAAGTGTCACACAATCTTAAAATCAACCTTATTTATCAAAATACACAATGTTGTCAGTCCCTCTATAAACTCTTGCAATGACTCTGTGGTCTCGCTCAGCCACTGTGAAGTGCAATAGCGCCCCCTGTGACTCCAAATATTCTCTATCCAAAGATATAGCAAGTTGAAATGAGTCCCATCTTTCTTTACATTTCAGTTTCTATCTGTTGTAATGATCACACAAATTACACAAGGAACCATGTTACATTTGCTCTTCTTTCCAGCCTGCCCTCTCTGCCATCCGCCGGGTTTACCACATGGTTAAACTCTCTTCTCTTCTCTTCTCTCCTCTCCTCAGTACATGATTTAAAGCCTAATTATGACCTCAAATTAGCCCTGAAGATTTTTCCAAAATTGTGGAGAGTCTCCACTGTTTTACACAAAACAGGGCTGGTCAGGACACGGACATTCGGCACACTGTCTTGTCATGTGCAAGGCCGTGGGATTAGGATTTCTTGCCTCTTGATTGAACCTTTGACCAGTTGAAAACCTCATGATTATATAAAATACTTTTAAACACATTTTTTCTGGCATTTGACTTCAGCTGAATGTGACATTGTATTTTCCAGTTGGTTAAAGATGTATGTGTGTTAGGAGCATCTTTGTGC